GAGAGTTCAAAGCAGCGAAAAAATTGAGTGCTTTCTTTTACAAAATTTGATTCATTTGACCTTATCTAACCTTTGACTGTTATGTTACTGCTTCTGTCTTAGAATCCTCTCTAATGCTAATAAGGTATGCAATTCTTCTCTCTTCTGTCTTCTTCTACTTATTCCATTTGTTTTTGTCATAAACTACTTTTAATTTTCTGCTATTTGTGCACCTTCTGCTCTTTTATCACACATTGAGGTTCAAAATATGAAGAATAACAAGTTTGATAGCGAAAAATACAGTTTTGAAATGCCGCATTGCTAACAACTGTACACTGCCAGACAACAGATAAAGCCGCAAAGAGCTACCGTTCATTATAAACAAAAGTAAACTATAGCTACAAAGGTTGTTGTGGAAAGTTTTGTGACGTACAACATTTATTAACAGGTGCTTGCATACGCCACGCCTTGCGCGATGTTCATGACAATGTTTTAAATTTTTTCCGTAAACTTCCTTGTCTGACGAGAACAGGTTGGGCCGGAAAATTACTTTGTCATATTTAAATACTTCCAAAGTGAGGAATAGTCAACAACAGTGTTAAATGCGAGGAAAAGTTAAAAAATTTAGGTTTTTAGAAGAAAAGATGTAAAAGATACAAAATTTGTTCAGTGTGAAAAAGTGTTTGCAATTTGTTGTTATACAGGGCTTTATCGTGTTGGTTTCATTTCAGTATCGCTTGTCTCCGATATATTCTGCTTAATTATGAAACTTAGAATCAAAATGCAGTTTAAAAATAAAATGGAAAACAGTTTTCTCTTCTATACTTTTTATTTCTGTCAGTATGCGAGAGCTGTGTTTCTCCTTTAGCTTTTGAAGACGTTTAAACTACTATAAAAATATGACATGGTGATAGCATGCTTATTTGACGCTAAACAAAGAAACCTGACAAGAGTGAAAAGCGTTTCAATACATAGTATTATTTTTGATTATTCATGACGTCAACAGTGCAGCGAAAGCGTTGATGAAACCGTCGTTTATAACGTAAATGTCCAGCGAAACTTGAAGGTGTCAGTGTTTTGTGATTTCAGACAATTTTTAAAATCTCATACTTTTACCGTTTTAAGCTTTTATACCTTTGCTAAAATTTTGTTTTTTTCAAACACCTGATTTCTTCTTTCTTCTTTTGAAAAGTTTGCTGCAACTTACGGAAAGCCGCAAATATTTGTTCGCGCAGTTTTGAAAAGTGCTGCAAGTGACAGTTCCGGAAAAAAAAATCTATTTCAGTCTGCAATTTCTGTGAACTTTTATAAGTAGCTTTTGGCAAAATATGAATTAAAATATACACATCAGGCAAAATTGTGGACCAGTCTCCCAACATAAAAAAAAATTATCCTTTTACCAACTTTTTTAATAAGCGTTGGAATGTTACAGGAGAAGCTTGAATACATAACGCAGAACAAATAAAATTTACAAGTAGTTTAAGAAGGAAAATGTAGATTTCTTAAAGTTTTCATCGCAATAAATAAAAACAATAAAGCAGAAAAAGTAGGGTGTTCAAGAAGTTCTTGATAGAATTAGTAAACCAAATTCTCGCTATTTTATTAACTAAATCGAATTATTGAAAATTATTAAGAGAGAAATTTATAGAACTTGTTTTACTTAAGAATTAATCAATTAGCCGTGCATGAGGTCGAGTGGTTTGGAAGCTTCAATTTGGTAAACGTTTAAATTTTTTTGGTTTGTAACACCCGAGTTATTTTATGAGCGCCAAGTATACTAAATATTACTTATAAAGCTTTTACTAGCAATTTTTCGACATGATACATTTTGACATATAAGATAAATTTAAAGGTAATCAGCAGGAAATAAAAGTTAGGCATAAAATTTGTGTTTTTTATAATCAACATTTATTCAAGGCGCCTTAGCAGTTGGGCGCAGAGGGTTGCTGATATAAATGTTGTAGTTACTAAACTTCTGAAGTGTGAGACTAACTTCACATAATAAGAAAGTTAGAAGTATTGTTCTGTATAAAAATGACATAGCTAAAGTTACAGATATCCGCAGGCGTTGGCACGTTTTTTCTGCATCAGTGTAAATACTGGAGAAGA